ATCAAACTTTACGAGTCATTTCGCGACCACCACCCGCTACTTTTTAGAGAATGCAAGGTTAACTTTAACGTATTAGTCTGTGGGGACTTCGAAATGTCACGGTTTGTGTGGTTTAACCTATGCTTATGGTTCGTTAATCATATAAAATGAAGCTTTTAGCGTCAAAAAAAGAAAAACAATCGGTGAATCAACTGTGAATCGAAACTAAAGCTTTTAACACATTTCTGTGGAGCAGAGTCTCCAAAATGAGCTCTGAGTTAACAGTCACATGAGCTCTGGAACGAGACGCTGCAGAGGTTCAATCTGCACAGCTCCCCTTTCTCGTCTCGCTTGCAGTGTTTACTGTCTGAGAATAACACCGTCTCAAATCACTCAGTGTCCCCTACGTAGAGCGCTACTGTTCAAACAAACACGATCATCATTAACAAGCAGTTGAGTTTTAAATAGGGACTTTGTAGCCTGTTGTTAATGTTGATTATAGATGACTTAGTCGAACGTTTCACGCACTCTTTGGGTGAAGGATTTGCTATTTCATGATCCACGAAGTGCACTACATAGGGAAGATAGTGTGCTTTGAGACGGGCCCTCGCGCGAGTAAACGCTGCGTGCTGCTTTTAGGAAAAGTTTCAGAGATCAAACTTCAGGAGTGTTTCTGCCGCAGCTCAGATGCGCGTTAATTTTAAGTTATGTTTTAGTTTTTAATGCTTTTAGAGAAGCAGCTCCACAGGTGAAGACACACTGTGTGAGTTCTACACTGTCTGCAGCTCACAGCACGGTCACGCAATTCCTCTGTGATTTTGGCTGTTTTTCCTAGTGCACTGTACTGATTAGGGGTTCAGCGCCACAACGGCACAATAATGCTGCAGTTGCAGTTCGGATGGAAATCCCCCGAGTGCAACACTTCTTAGAAGCAGTAATTTTCCATTAAGACCCACCTCAGAGTTGGTCGAGATTTAATTCTCTATGCAGGGAAATCCCTAGTTATTGTAATTAATAATAATAATAATAAGAAAAAGAAGAAGAAGAAAAAAAAAGAATAATAACAGTAATAATAATAATAATAATAATAATAATAATAACTGTAATAATAATACATTTGCTATTCTTTTGTTTACAGAGTATTACAAGTATTGTAAGTAATACAAAAGTAATACTAAAAATGTATTGACCTTATTAAAATAAAATTTGGTGAAACGAGTTTCAGTTTGTGTATCAGTATTTATTTTTTTATTTATTTTACTTTTCAAAACATTTGAACAATATCGCGATAATACCGATAATTGTGATAATTTTGGTCATGATAATCGTGATATGAAATTTTAATATCGTTTCATCTCTAATTGGTAATAATGACAATATTGACAAGTTGTATTATTGCGTGCAAATTTTCTCACATTCTGATCAGACACGAGTTTGGACATACAAATATAGCAGTGATGGACTTGATGGAATAACAAAACATATGTAATATAGATGAATTAAGGTCAAGGGCTACAAAGACCAATCATGCAGGTTATTGTGTGCTTTGACAACAGTTTTTAAGATGAAATCAAGGCTACAATGTATCACTCACTTGTCAATCATACTCTTGAAATCCAAAACTCCAGCAATCAGTTTAGCAGCATATCTGTGAGGATCAGAGAAAACTGTATATTAACACTAGGAAGGCCAACATTTCATCACTGTCCAAAAAAAAACCTCTCTCTTTTTTTTTGTTTTTTTAGTTTTTCTTGTTCTTTTATTGAAATTGCTTGGAATAAAACCTTATTGTTATTACTTTGGCTTACATTGAAAATAAAGAACGTTTTTGCCCTTTCCTCTAAATTTGCCATTTTTCATATACTTTCTGTTCTTTGGACAGCGATGATTTCCTAATAGACTTTGGTCTACCATGCAGATCAAAAACAAACAAAACGTCATCACAAGATTGTGTACATGGAACTTGCATAGTCATCTGATAACTTTTTACTCCATGTGCTCCATCTATCACAGACTAATGCAGCAGACTCCATCATCCTGATCTGAAGCCAGTCAATAATTAATCAAAAGTGAGGATTTATGAAAGAAACCTGGCACTAGTTTAGGATTTTCTGCAGATAAAAGCAGTGTGTGCTCTCTGAATAGCTCAGCCCAGATCGGGTTAGTGTGTACAAAGGTCAGCACCACAGCCATATTTATTATTAGACATGGAAGCACTGACTAATCCTGAACCTGATCTTTTCCCGCAAAACATCATGTTTAAAGTCATTTTACATAGTTGTTTCTCAACTAATACTGTAATTAGCATAATTTATTTGAATGTATACCATTTTTCCCTGCTTTAAAATTCACAATAATTCAGGTAAACACTGTACAGAAGCATATCACTTGCAGCTTAAGTTCCCAACACCTAATCAAATAATCTTCAGTATTTTAATTATTTTAGTCAATGTTCTGACCTTATTTGACCTTGCCGGTCACTGAATTCCAAACGAGGGAGGACAACTCCAGGACTGGAATGGATGACCACAGGCAGCCGGTAGTCCAGATAGGCTGTCTGTAACCACCAGTCAGAGAGCTACATATAAAGAAAAAGGGGAAGATGAAAAGAAAGTAATGTAGTGGAAACTACAGTAATTCACTGTTGATTTGAGTTACTGTTTAATGCATACATCATGCTTGAGACAGTCATGTGGACAAAGCTACTCTGAATTTAATTTAACTGCCTTCTGTAACTACCAAAAAAACAAAGACTATGTACTCCTCTAGGTGTGTCCCCATCATTAAGTTGTGCAAACAGCAAGAAACAGCTAGTGAAATAGGCCAAAGAGTAAATGACATATTGTGAAACTTTATATAGAAAACTATTATAGGAACAGTATTTGCAATTGAAGTTTGCTCATCACTGTGCAACTACAGTGACATTCTGTTGCATATGATACAATGCACTGTGGGCATTCCGTGTCCTCTAATGTAGATCGTTTTACCCTATCTACTGCGATGCATTGTTAAATTGCATCCACTTTGTTTTGCGCTGCCAAGCAGCAGACTGGTGATACAGTGATATAGAGCTAATCGTGGCAATTTCATTGCACCACTTTTGGAATGTTATAACTGTCCATACAGAATCCTACCCAGTTTTCTGTCTTGCGTGCCCGGTGCTCCAGGCCCTTCTGCAGCCTCTCTCCAACCCCTCCTTGTGCCTGGAACACCATCACCAGCTCCTGTGTGTGCTTCAGCATCTCCGAGTCCACTATTGGCTCCAGAGCAGCCAAATAACGGTCGCATGTCTGTTTTAGGGGCGGCACAGGGAGTTTAGGGAGACTCTCCTGATGGGCCAGGTAGCGCCCTGGAATTCTCGTTAAAGCCACCGGTTTCACGAGGCTGGAGGGCTTCACCATGCCAGTCTTTCCCTAAATGAAAGTGGTGCCCAAAAAAATAGATTAACATCCTGTAATACCTGTCTGACTGAAACAAAGTAAAAACTGACAGTGTAGTGCAGGTAATTTTACCATCTCCACTCCAGAACTCAAGTTACAGTCCACCTGTACTGAACAGTTTCTTCACTGATCCTCAAAAAAGACCTGGTCATTAGCTAATGGTATGACTCAAGATAAAATACTTTACTGAATACTTTAAATTACAGCACTAAAAAAAACGCAGGGCAGCATCTAAATATAAGGTACCCTAACGAGTATATTTCAGTTACTGTACATTGGTGTTTCAATACGCTTTTGGGGAAAAAAAAAACAAAGTGTTTTAAAATACCAATGTACAGTCACTAAAATACCACATATATAGTTCTGATAATCTCACCTCAAAACAATAGCGTACGCTGGGAGGTAAATCGATGGCCGCACGACGTGTTACTTATTTGTCAACAGACTTAGCTGGCTACACTTCATAACGTCATTGCTAATATGTACTGAGGCGATAACGGCAAAGTTCAGCTAGAGACACACGTAACTTACTATAGCCACTTGAGCTAACGTTACCTTATATCAGACACTCGACTGTTCAGTCACTGAGCTGATCTAAGTTACTGTGCAATGCACACTGAGGTTATACAGTTCCAAAGGTTTGTTTGTTAGATATGTTTACTCTGTCGCTGTCACACTTCAGCTAGCTAAGCTGCTATGCTACACTCTCAAATGACAGAGAAACGTTACTTTACCCTCTCTTGCAGAAAAATGATGCTTCTTTTTTTAGCTAACAAGCTGCCGTTATTTACCTCCTCCAAACTGCGGCGGTTTAGTGCAAACGTTGACCTTCTGGATATTGTCTGTACTCACCATAGTCCTGGCCAGAAAACCTAATACAGTCATAGTGGAAGTTATTTGGCTGAAACGCCCCTAAACACACAAGAACAGAAGAGGCCTCCGAGCTCAAACGAACGACGCGCAGTTTCAGCTGTGCTGCTGCTGCTGCTGCAGCACCACCATACGACCACTAGGGGGCTTAGCACTTAGCACAGCATGCCACCATAGAAATCTGATGTCAGTATGTACGAATATATGTATGTATGAATGAATGAATGAATGAATGAATAAACAAACAAACAATCAAAGCAAGTAAGTAATTAAGCAAATAAATGAATGGTTGGAAATTCATAATATACATAATTGTCCATTGGTAAGATATTTATATTTATCATATTTATTAGCGACTAATAGGACTCATTTTGGAAATACACACATATATAATAACAAATAATCACTGAACACAGACAGAACAGCCCTTCGTAGAATGTTTTAAATACTGTCCACAGGCGGCAGAATTACAATATTTATTTTAAAACACTCAACTACACAGCACAACCTAAAAATAAATGCTTAATTAAACGGCTAAATATTATTTTTCAAATAGATGGATTAAACATTGATTTAAAAAATAATTTGCATTTTAAAACAATTATTAATTTGTGAAACCACTGCATATATTAAATATTATTTTAAATTCACTTTAAATTCATTTTAAAACGCTGTGTTTACTTTTCTGGAGGTGAAAGGTCGTGGTATCCAGTTTTGCTTCAGCCCTCAACAAACATGGCGGAGAGCGAGCAGCAGTCAGGTAAATTATGTAGGAAATAGCATCTGCCACCCGGCACGGTTTATTCTAAAATGGGTTCATGTGGGGCAAATACTGATTAAAAAGTGCGAACAACGGTTCTTTTATGAAAAGCGAAGGACATGCGGGTTTGGAGACGGGTAGTTTTACTGCGCCTTATTCACTGCAGACGAGTGCTCACTAGCTTAGCTGTTAGCTAGCTGATATAGCTAAAGCTAGCTGGCGTTTTATTAACAAACAGCCTTAAATCAGAGCTTTACTGAGCTGAACTATTTAATGATTCTTGCAAGCCGCTGTGTTGTATGAGAACTCAGAGTTGTAGCTAGTTTTACAGATGTAGCAGAGCTCGATTCTGTTTTGCTGTGTAGGTTACCATTGTGTTGAATCAAGCTTATATTACATGAAAATTATAAGACTTTTTATGCATTTCATTGACCATAGTGGTGTGGTGGATGTAGTGACAGTTATGTCTCTGTTCATTCATAACTGAGTGTTGCCTGAGAGCAGCAGGGCTGCTTTGGTCCAGCTCTTGTGGGTCCTTTGCTCCATTTTTGCTGCCACTGAACATGTCTTTAATAACTATGAGTAAACTCAGAGTAAGCTGTGAATAGTGATGATTGACTCTGAATAACGTCGCTGGACAGTGTTGCTCTTTAAGTGATTTGAGCTGATAAGTGTTTGAAATATATTGAAAAAATACACTGCCATTCTTTCTTACATTGGAAGGCAAAGTCTTATTCCACACAATATGGAAAAAAATCTTTTGTATGTTGACAAATTAAAGTTAGTGTTATTGCATTGTGTAGTATTGTGAGATGTTTTGTGCCCATTTAAAATTTTATGTTTGCATAAGATTAAAGCTGGCTGTCACGTATATGTTTCAGCACACCATGCATTTTAGACCTCTTGATTTTTAACCAATTTTTTTTATCTCTACCCTACTAATCTGCTACATCTACCCATTAGCATTATGAGTGCACAATATTGGTATATCAGTATAATATATGTCTAAAACATTGGATTTTTAGAAAATATCTGGGGTTGGGTGTTTTTTTCCTGTTTTTGACAGGTGCAGTAACAAAACCCTATTTGGTAAACATAAACTGCAAATGTCCATGCTAGGAAAAAAGAGCATAGACCAACATACCTGGTCACTATGTTGATAGTATCCTAGCGTCTGAAGTGTGTAATGGCTCTAATGGCTCTAAAAGCCATTACACAATATGTTTATGAATGTGCTCCCTGGTGCATGAGACATTGTTTATTATAGTATTGAAATAAGGGTTTTGCTCTAAAACATGTATTATAAATCCATTCATGGTGGGGAGGTACATACAGGCCATTGTAAGGTGAAGTAGTAAGTAAAAGAAAAATAGATTTTTTCAAATTTACCAATATTTTGCCATTATTAACATATTAAAATCTCACATTAATGTTTAAACATGTTTATTTAGTAAATAAAATGATTATATTTGTGTTTTAGACATGCATATGCCTGTCACTACCTTTATAGAGAAATCCAAGTTGGTAACTTTCACTACAGTGCACCATGTCATATCAAACCAAACTCTGAATCATTTTGTTTACATCTCAACAGTTGAATTATGCAGCAATTCTGTAAAATCAGTGGAATTCCTCTTCTGTTTTCTGTTTCTGCAATATTGATTTGATTTTGGTTGGTGAAAGGGCTAGAGCAAGCAAGTGAGCATGAGTGAAAGTTTCCATTGGTATTTTCCTTCATGCATGACTGACAGATTGACCTAACAAAGAGCTAGAGGACTTTAATCCTAGAGTTTTTCCTTTCTTTCTGTGATTACAGTACAAATGCTGATTATATTCTTATGCATGGATTTTGGCTTTAGATAGTCAGTCTGCCGATTAACATCTGTGGCATAGGTTATCTCATCAGTATAGAGTACAAGTCTTGCATACCATAAGAGAGGAGCTCAGGCTGTAAACTGTGACGTAATTGCTAGAAAAAAAGTCTAATGAAAGTAGAATTTAGGTCACTAGAAGTCCATTCTTCTGTTATGTAACTTTTGGCCCTGTTTCTGGGTCATCTGTGATAAGTTTGGTATTTAACCTTGAAAAAGCTTAGTTTGAAGATAGCTGTCAGCTGCTGTGGCTGTAATTTTGCATAAATGCTTCATTACTATATAGCAACGGTTCTCTATTCCGTTCCCAGGGCTTAGATAGAGCAAAAAATGCAGCGTCCTGGGGCCCAAGGATAAATCAAAGAATCTACGCTGTGTAGTGCTTTTGTTTGCTGTACAATGTATTTGACTGCAATGCATGTAATTTGCTGTTTTGAAGTAACAGTTCAACAGGGGGATCCTAGCTAGCATGTAGGAATTGGCCACATTTGGCTAAATTGGGAGGTACAAATGCATTAAAAGTAAATATATCTAAATAAATTTAAATAAATGTATAGTTTAATTGTCCTTTCTGTAAATGTGGCTTTCTTCTGGTTAATATTTACAGTACTGTGTTTTCAGGTTTCATTTGGTGTAATTTTATGAGAAATAAAAAAATAATACAAACAAAACAAACTGTCAGGTTTGTAAGACATTTCTAATATAGAGTGCATGTACTCAGAAAGCAAGTTATTATCTTTGTAAATGTAAAAGAGAGAGAGCTTTATCTTTTAAATTTGATTTGCCATTTGCACAGGTGCCTCTCCTGAAGATGATAGACCTCCCATACCTGTCAGTTTCAACTTCATGGTGCCAAAGAAGGAGATCAGCATGGTTCCTGATATGGGCAAATGGAAGAGATCTCAGGTTTTTTTGTTTCCAGGGCTGCATTATTTGTAACCCATTATTTACACCTTCCTTTTGTGTCCTTCCTTTCAATATATATCGACTCAAGGGAATTATTTGGTGAAAAGTCACATTTGAACATTTTTCCACTCCAGATGTAAAATCAGTCAAAACAAGATATGTTTGGTGTCTGAATTGTACTAATACAAGCGCATCAGGTATTGTGATGCCATGCAGATGTAATCTTAAATTTTGTGGCTGCTCACAGCTTTCAGATGCATGGTGATGTTGTTATTTTTTATAGTTCACAGTAAGACAAACAGTGCTGCAAAAAAGTATTTGCCCCTCACCCTATTTCTTCTATTTTTACTGATTTTTCACATTTAGATGTTTCAGATTGTCCAGCTAATTGTAATATAAGATAAAGACAACACAAGTAAACATAAAATGCAGCTTTTAAATGATCATTCCATTTATTGAATATACAGATTTATTCAAACCCTTTATCACCCATGTGAAAAGTAATTGCCTCTAAACCTAAAAACTGATTGTTCCACCCATGGCAGTAACAGCTGCAATCAAACATTTGCATTAACTTGCGATGAGTCTTTTACATCACCGTGGAGGAATTTTGGCCCACTGTTCTTCTCAGCATTTTTTAAATTCAGCTACTGAATTTAAAGCATGAACTGCCTGTCTTGCCACAGTATCTCAAAGGGAAGACTAGACTTTGACTTTGCAGAACTTTCCATCAATTTCCATTAATTATGACAAGTCATCCGGGTCCTGTAGAAGCAAAGCAGCCCCGGATCATCACACTACCACCACCATGTTTGACTGTTGGTGTGTTGTTCTTATGATGGAATGTGGTATTATCTTTATGCCAAATGTACTGGGGCTCATGTCTTCCAAAAAGTTTCACCTTTGACTCATCAGTCCACAGAATATTATCCTCAAAGTCCTGGGGGTCAGCTAGATGTTTTAGGAAAATGCAAGACGAGCCTTTGTGTTCTTTTTGGTCTGCAGTGGTTTGTGTCTTGCAATTCTCCCATGGACACCGTTTTTGCCCAGTGTCTTTCTCATTGTGGAATTGTGTACATAGACCTTAACTGAGACAAGTGAGGCCTGCAGTTTTGTAGATGTTTGTCTGGGTTCTTTTGTGACCTCGTGGATGAGTTGTCTCGTAGGCTGGCAACTCCTGTGAAGGTTCATCACTGTTCCAAGTTTTCTCCATTTGTGGATAGTGGCTCTGACTGCTGTTCACTGGAGTCTCAGAGCCAATGGCCTTGTAAATCTTTTCAGACTGGTAGATTTCAGTGATTTTGTTTCGCATCTGTATATGAATCTCTTTACAGCGTGTCATCATGTGCTGCTTTTTGAGACCTTCTAGCCTGCTTCACATTGCCAGAGAGGTTCTACTTAAGTGATGTTTGGATACAACAGGTCTGGCAGTAATTGTGCCTGGGTGTGGCTAGTGAAATTGAACACAATGGTCGATTTAATTTGGTTAACTGGTTGATTTAGTAGCTAAGAGGTAGTTACTTTTTCACATAGGGCCAAGTAGGGCTGTACAGCATTTTTCCTTCAATAACAGCATTTTTTGTTTACTTGGGTTTTCTTTGTCTAGTGTTAAAAGTAGTTTGATGATCTGAAACATTCAAGTGTGGCAAATATGCAAAAATAGAAGAAATTGGGAAGCGGGCGAATACTTTTTCATAGCACTGTATCATGTCTTAAACATCGACAAGTCTGTGCAACCTCAGTGAAGGCCCACATGTGGTTTGAACAAGTTGAGAGAAGTATGTAGAAGTGGGGATGCAGTTACATTTGGAATATTTGGACACAAAATACACTATATTGCCAAAAGTATTCACTCATCTGCCTTCACACACTTGAGTGACATCCCATTCTTAATCCAAAGGGTTTAATATGATGTCGGCCCAGCCTTTGCATCTATAACAGCTTCAACTCTTCTGGGAAGGCTTTCCACAAGGTTTAGGAGTGTGTTTATGGGAATTTTTGACCATTCTTCCAGAAGCACATTTGTGAGGTCAGACAGTGATGTTGGACGAGAAGGCCTGGCTCACAGTCTCTGCTCTAATTCATCCCAAAGGTGTTCTATCGGGTTGAGGTCAGGGATCTGTGCAGGCCAGTCAAGTTCTTCCACACCAAACTCGCTCATCCGTGTCTTTATGGACCTTGCTTTGTGCACTGGTGTGCAGTCATGTTGGAACAGGAAGGGGCCATCCCCAAACTGTTCCCACAAAGTTGGGAGCATGAAATTGTCCAAAATCTCTTGGTATGCTGAAGCATTAAGAGTTCCTTTCACTGGAACTAAGGAGCCGAGCCCAACTCCTGAAAAACAACCCCACACCATAATCCCCCCTCCACCAAACTTTACACTTGGCACAATGCAGTCAGACAAGTACCGTTCTCCTGACAACCACCAAACCCAGACTTGTCCATCGGATTGCCAGACGGAGAAGCGTGATTCATCACTCCATACATCACTGCATTCAACGCTTTGCATTGCGCTTGGTGATGTAAGGCTTGGATACAGCTGCTCGGCCATGGAAACCCATCCCATGAAGCTCTCTACGCACTGTTCCTGAGCTAATCTGAAGGCCACATGAAGTTTGGAGGTCTGTAACGATTGACTCTGCAGAAAGTTGGCGACCTCTGCGCACTATGCACCTCAGCATCCGCTGACCCAGCTCTGTCATTTTACGTGGCCTACCACTTCGTGGCTGAGTTGCTGTCGTTCCCAATCGCTTCCACTTTGTTATAATACCACGGGCAGTTGACTGTGAAATATTTAGTAGCGAGGAAATTTCACAACTGGACTTGTTGCACAGGTGGCATCCTATCACGGTACCACGCTGGAATTCACTGAGCTCCTGAGAGCGACCCATTCTTTCACAAATGTTTGTAGGAGCAGTCTGCATGCCTAGGTGCTTGGTTTTATACACCTGTGGCCATGGAAGTGATTGGAACACCTGAATTCAATGATTTTTATGGGTGAGTGAATAGTTTTGGCAACATAGTGTATATCTTGACTAATTGACTGCATCTGGGGAAAGTTAAAAATTTGTGAATTTTATGTATCACTGAACCATCCCTTAAATCCAAGGTGTTGTGTTGGCATTTTGAAACTTGCTTTCCAGAAACCTTCTTTCCACAACTTGTCAGACGACTCATAGCAAAATGGTTCCATTTGAGTTATTACATAACTGTAAGATGTTCTTCCTCTGGACACACTCATTACGACCTTTGGTTGAGTCACTCTGAAATCAAGTTTCTGAGATTTTATCTGGGTTTCTCCAACATTTGTAGGCGTATGCAGACTACATGGGATTCATTCTGACTCTGAATGAAGGGGTGAAAGGAAAGAAGCTCACATGTGAATACCCAGTTTCAGAGGTAAGAGCAAAATCAGTATCCATTCTTCTGTCCTGTTACAGGCAGAACTGTGCAGGCCCATGCCTAAAGCCAAGTTGGTCTTTTTTCTTCATTTAGAAATATGTTGTTTTTCTTTTTTTTTTTTTCCTCTTTGTCCCTATTAGACAGTGGAAAAGCTGCTCTCACTGTTGGGGACTTTAGATCGCTGGATAGATGAAACACCACCTGTAGACCAGCCCTCACGCTTTGGCAATAAAGCTTACCGTACTTGGTATGCCAAACTAGACCAGGTACAGACTGTGTGTGTGTGTTTGACTTACATACATATTAGAGATCTACTGATGACACCATTGTGTACTTGATGTGAAGTCACTTAGCCGCCACATGGGTACTCGCTCTCCGCACTGATAAACGAACAGTTATCTACAGACATGTAAACGTCTATTAGATGTCTATGGGCATGTAAGGCAAAAATTCTCTCAAAAGATTCAGTTATAATGAAAATGCTGAGGTGTACCATGTATTCCTGCAGCAGTACCCATTTATAGGCTTGTAGCAAGACATTTGAGGGTGGGCGATATCGCCAAAATATTTCACAATACTTGAAAACATTTTCTGAATACACAATTTCCAGTCAAAATGGTCAGTAAGTACAAGAGATATTTATGAGGAGAACAGTTATAAGACAAGGGAAAATAAGTGAAAAAAACAGGAGTTTCAAAAACTGACGTGATTCAGATAATTTAAAAAAACAGAAAAATGGGAAGCCTTACCACTGGGCACGACCTAGCAAGACCTGGTAGACCACCAAAGCGGTCAGTAAAAACAGCTTTCAAAGGTTTCATTCAATCAAGCTATGCTCCGCTTCAGATCTGATAAAACCACAGCTGTTTCTGTCCATCCTTCCACTGTCAGAAGACAACTCAATGCAGTGGGTCTGAAAGAATATGTAGCTGTTACAGAGGAAAAAGAAATAGACAAAAAAGCAGAACAAAATCAAACCATTTTTACAAATCAAACCAAGAAGCTGGTTTAGCTACTTCAGAACCCAGACCACAACATCACGGAATGTGTTTGGGGTTACTTGGATTGTAAGAAGCAGAAAATGCAGCCAAATTGTAAGAATGAAATTTGGAGTTATGGAAAAATATCCCAGCAGATTTCTTTGAAAAACTTAATGCACGTCTCCCAAAAAGAAAGCTGTAATAAAGGCAAAGGCTGCACAGACTAGATATTGAAAGTTTTGATATTATTTTTAGCTTTTGAGCCTCTCTCTCTCTCTCTCTCTCTACATATATATATTTCTGCTTTTTTGCTGGCACTGAGAAAAGAATAACATACTGACTGGTCAATTTGGCTGGAAATTAAATAAATGGAGGGGGGGCACTGATTATGTTCTCTGCAGAAAAAGTGCCTTTGATTCTGTCCCACATAAAGACTTTTAAAAATGTGCAAATATCAAAAGTGTATGGGGCACATTTTGGGGGAGTATTTGAATGGGGGTTTCAGTAATATATCCCCGCTTAACAATTTAGGTCTCTAATATGTATATCTATGGTTTAATGCTTTTTTGCATAGTGATGCGATTTAGTCTTCCATATCAGTGTAGTGTACTTCCTTATGGACTGATTCTTCTGCAGTGTTAATGGGGTTATGTTGACTTTGAGAACTCTCAGCTATTGTGTAATATGAAGAAACTGTGTGTGTCTAGGAGGCTGAGACTCTAGTCTCCGCAGTTCTTCCATCTGATCTCAGTGCTGCTGCTCCAGAGATCGCTGTATATCTGAAGGAGGCTGTAGGCAACTCCACCAGGATTGACTATGGCACAGGTGCGCATGTATGTGTGTGAAAAAATAAACTACTGAAATGTCTTGTTTTGTATTTATATATTTTCATTTGACATATGTCATGATTTCATATGGTTTAAAATAATACTCAACTTTCAATTATGTATTTTTACACCCTTATTTAGAAAATATTTATCATAGGAGAAAATCGCACTTGTCTTTCATCAAATTTATTTCTTTTGTTACTGTTTAACTTTATACTCTGTCTTTAAAGTACTTTAGAATGCACAAATACTTACAAGTGCTCTATAAATAAAGTCATTGTCATTTTATTATTATTATTATTATTATTATTGCTGTTGTTGTATATTCTTAGGCAGTCTGATTAGCTTTGAATGTTTTTGCAAGAGCCATTATCAAGGTCCTTTTAGGTCATATGTCACATGCACTGGAACAAAACTTATTTCATTTCAAATCAGCTAACATCCATAATATCCATGACTATTAAAGGGGAATTTCGTTAGTTTTTCTAAATTTCTGCTTGATTCAATCACTGCAATGTAAAGAAAACCGTTCAGAGTGGTTTAACTGAAATGATACGTTGTAGAGAAACTTGCCAACTCTGCTTTCTTTACAGTGGTGGTTTGAGGAACCAGAGGTCATGCTATATTATTATTATTATTATTATTATTATTATTATTATAATTATTACTACTACATGTCACCAGTAAAAATCCACAGTTTTATAATGGGAAGTAGTGGTAAATCTAAAAAAAATACATTTTTCTGGGTACTTAGCCCTTACAATGCAGTGCATGTACCTCCCTACCATAAAGTGTTAAGAAATCTACATCAATGTCTCAGGAATCAGGCAGTGTATTCATAAACACATGTTGTAATAACTTTCTTTTATGGAGGTTTTAGCCTTTTACCACTACTTTGAAAAGATCTGACTCTGTAAGTGGAGAAACTCACATCACCACTCTGAATGATGGACTGTTTCTATCTTAATGATTTAATGAAAAAGTTCTGAAACTTTTGATAAATCAGTGGAATTCCCCTTTAACTGAACTGTAATGGGAACATATTTCTGTAGCTCCACTGGAGGGCACTGTTGAAGCAAAAATGCCATGAAGCCTTTCTATGGTCCAGTAAACAACTGCAAGTCCCAATGAATATTTGTTCACCTTTTTTCATTGTCTTCTGTCTGTGGTGTTAATAGAGTGTGTGAAATGTATAGTCTGTCATTATTGCATTGTCCATAGTTTTTGTTTTAAAGGTTATATTTGTGTGGGTCTGCAGGTCACGAAGCTGCCTTTGCAGCATTCCTCTGCTGTCTTTGCAAAGTGGGAGCTCTCCGAGTGGAAGACCAATTGGCCATCATTTTTAAAGTATTTGACAGGTTAGCTATGGTACAAAAATATAGACTGTATTTTTTTTTTTCCTTTATGATCTACTTTTTCATTAGTAGTCAAAGCTCCTCTTTATATGTTCCTAATATGCATATGTATTTACGTAAGTGTGCTTAGGAATACACTTAAGTACATGACCATTTTGTTCTTCTGCTTTTGTTTCGTAAAAAGCAATTAGAAGCATATTAACTGCATAGACATGGAGTATTGGGGTTGGTAGTGTGAAAAATGCTGCATGTAATGCACATTTGCATGTAAATGAGCTTTGGGCTCTAACGTGTGCAGGTATCTGCGAGTGATGCGGAAGCTGCAGAAGACGTACAGGATGGAGCCGGCAGGCAGCCAGGGCGTGTGGGGGCTTGACGACTTCCAATTTCTGCCCTTCATTTGGGGCAGCTCCCAGCTCATAGGTAATTCTTCTCAACTCGCTGCAGTTTTATTTCCAGCTTTGTTGTTTACTGCCCTTAATCCCTCCTTGTGGTAAAGAGTGATAGATAGAGAGTAAAATTACAAAAGCATATTTGTTTTGATGAACTGAGTCAATTAGAGAGCCTGAAGTAACTTTCATAACTAAGTTGTGTTCCGTTTAATTCTTCTTACAGCTAGGGCTGTCATGATCATAAAATTTTAGCTGATGATTAATTGTCATTTAAATAATGATTTAATTATCTTTTTTTACTTTATGCAACTATTTAAATACAAAATTAGCTCCTTGGCCATCTTGCTTTTTAGCTGTTTTAACTTAGTAGCTAATACAACTAAGTATATGATATATTCACACACTGAAATAAATGTCTAGTTAGACAAAATCAGGTGTAGAGTCAAGCAAAGCTACAAATTTTCTTGAGTTAAAATATAAACAAACATTACTTGTCCTGCCCTCTAAATATGTTAAGCACCAAGTTAGACGTTAGAACATGTATTGTTTTCATGAGCCCCATCACGTGTCTTAATGCATTTACTGCTTTCTTTCATTTACATTTACTTGCCCATTTAATATTTTGCTTGTTGCAGCATAATGCAGTGGTGAAATCTATTGGCTATGGAAAATGATTTCAGTCAGCCTAAATAATTGTGATCATATCAAATAATTGCAATTAGCTGATTGTGTAATAATCGATCAGTCTATCAACTATTATTTGACTAATCGACTAATCTAACTATGCCTTGTCTCAGTGCTGCCATAATTTAAAGTTTCTTCTTTTATGGTTTCTTCTTTTATCAACAAAACAACAGAATATATGCTTCTTCCTCTATGCTTACCATTGTGCACTGTCAGTCTGTCAGATTGACGATGTTATTATATGAAGATTATGGAGTGCTTTTGTTGTTTGTTGTTGACTTTTTTTTCCCCCTTAAGCGACATCATTGACCCCACTAATTAAGTCTGCAGGTAGAGCTGAACAATTTGGGGAAAAATGTCTATTGTAAATTTTCTGACCAGTATTGCAACTGTGAATAAGATGTGATTTAGAAATGTTTTCTATAAATTAAGCTCCATGCATTTTTTTTTCACCAAGAGCACCAGTCTATTCATTTTCCGAAATTGTGGCTTGTCACTGAGTGTGCCAGAATGCCAGCTCACAAGTTTTTTTAGGTTAAATTTATCCGCTTAAAAAATGTTGACAGTGTTGAATATTGACTGTTGGGGAGATAGGTAGACACCTGCTGGTGGCAATAAGGAATTGCATTGAGTGTTTTTTTTTTTTTCTCTTTTTTTCCATAGTGTGTCCTCTGAGAGTGTTATTTTTTTCCATGGTGTGTCCTCTGAGTGTGTATTCTTTCTCTCCCTCTCTCTGTTTAGACCACCCAACCCTAGAGCCCAGGCACTTTGTGGAGGAGAAGGTGGTGAACGAATACCACCAGGACTACATGTTCTTGGAGTGCATCAAGTTCATCAATGAGGTGTGTGTGTGTGCATAAATGAGTGTGCGTCTCCCTCTCTCTCAGGTGACGTCTCCTTTTAGCAGGGCCTGTTCTAAATAAGACACTGAGACAACTGAGAAAGCAAAAATAAAAAGGAGGTTATGGAATTATGACACTGAATGTGAGGAGAAGTTTTTCCAGAATGGAAGAAGAAGGCCCAGTTTGTCACTCAGAAGTCTTTCACTACGCTGTAGCAATATTTCCAGGCTTTTTCCATGTCTCAGGATAACTGTAGTCGACAATTGAGGAGGATTCATTGTTTTCTGTAATTAACAGGCTTTTTGTATTTTCTCAGGCTGGCCCGAGTAACGTGAATACTTGAGTATTCGTTTGTTACATTAGTATTTATTTTTAGGATGGTTTAGCTGGATTCATGCCAGGCATCCGCATCAACTCACTTTAGAGTGCAACAAACTGCATTGCTTTCCGTGTGGTCACTGAAGCTAAAAGAACAAAGAAGCCTAATAAATCACATGTGGGAGCTAAGCCTGAGTGATAGGGCAGTGTAATCAGATATTGTTCATGATTAGCAAGTAACCTGATGACAATACTTACAGGGCGATAGTTGCTTTGTTGGGAAACTGACAGAGAACTAAGGAGGACTCATTTACAATTTAATAGCTTGTTAAATATATTAGGAAATTGGAATCCATGTTCCTTTAAGAATTTTGCTAGCTTTACATACCCCACAGATCTTCCCTGTCATTTTACTTTACGTTAAGTTTAACTTGAGTGCATAGAACCAAAAATAAATGCAGATGAGCTTTGGAACTACAGCTTGCTTTAGTGTGACTCATTGCAGTAAAACAACCAAGCTAAAATGACTGGTTATTACATTAGAGCAAGCGTGTCAAACTGGGGACTTTCCGGGCCAAAGTGCTGCCGAGATTAGCATTTACCTTCATCTAACGCTCTGAATTCAGTTCAGGAAGGCCTTGCTAATTAGCTGATGAGCTGAATCAGGTGTGTTTAATATGACAGTGATTATTAGCAGAAATGCAGTATAACATACAAAACCATGTTTTCATTCGTGTATAATCACATTTTAACTATGAATCGTTGTGTTTTTGTTTGCTTAGAATGAGCCTGTCATATCTACCTAAGGAGTGGGTTCTCCTCCAAGAGAGGAGGGTGTTGCGCTGCCATTTTTCTACAGTAGCGCAGAACGTAGAAAGAAGAAGAATCAGTGGTTGCTGCAAGTGCTGGCTAATCATTTTGTGTTGTGAGAAGTTTGAGAATGCAAATTTTGACAAATGGAAGATCATACTTATTATTTAGCACAAGAGAAAGCAAGGGAGGGTGGGTCCTCATCATCAAAGAACCAAAAACATGAAGACGGAAAACAACATTGGGACAGGCGTCAGCAGAAAACCTGACAGCCAGAGCTGGTTCTATTACCACTAGGAAAGGGTGGGTTATTCAGCTGATTGCAATCTGCAACCTCAGTTGTAGATGCTGTTAAATTTTACACACTGCGCCTTTAAAAGCCGTTAGGCTACGGTAGATTAAAATCACCACTGTCTCTGCTGCACATTTCCCAGAGTGTGATTTACTGTCCTGAGAACAAATGGCAGTATTTTCCGTACATCTGAAGTGTACTGGTGGTTTATTAAGTTTATTTTTGAAAACTGTGAAAATATAGTAAAACATAATTTTCCAAAGGCATCGATGAATTCCGGAGTGACTCTGCTATAACGATGGAAAACACCTCATTTTTAATGTGAAGCATGTGGGCACGTCTTTGAAAATTGCTTGCAGTGTGAAGGTTCTCCAGCAGGGAGTGCTATTAGTGCGCAAGTCGCCATGAGTCTACACCAGAAGGATTCACTTGAATGAACGTTTGCAATAATGTTTATTAAGACGACAAGTGAAGTAATTTTCAAAAAGATGTTGGGTTATATTATTTCATATAGTCTCTGTCTCAGGGGCTCCGCCCTTAGAGGTACAAGGAACATCAGACGTGTATTGTACTAAGATGGCTAACTTTTGGCTATCTGTACGTCTGTGTGTTTACACTTCTGCAGTAGCAAGCAGAAGCATAATCTGTACACTGTAACTACAGTGAGCCTTTCATAGAACAATATCTTCTACAATTATTTTCCATCGCTTTCTTTGGTGCAACACAACATTTTCTGGTGACTGCTTTATCACACGGGTGTGTTTTTGTTGTACCACCATTTTGTTGAAGTCTGACTGTACATATATATTTTCAGGAATTTTTAAATTTGAGGTCAAGTTGTGTTGATTTGACTGGTTTAGCTCTGAAAAATATAAATTTTATTTCTAAAGAAATCAGCATGTCCTTATGCAAAATAGCGATTTAAAAAAATGGTAAAACTGAGCTACAAACAATACAAAAAAACTCAGGGGCCTCATATAAATGCTTGTATTGCATCATATAGCATCTACACACAAGCACAACTAAAGCATTTGCAGAATGTGCACATAGTCTGATACTAAACATTAACTATAACTGAGTTAATCTATATGTTTTTGGTTCTTGCTTTCCATGAAAGAGTACAAATGTAGGACCCTCCGATTTTTTGTTTGTTTTTAAATTTTTCCTTTTTTTAACTGTATTGAAATTGAGTGATGACACCTACCAGACTCTCTGGGAATAGCCAGAAGCTTAGCTTGCAAGACTGTAGTTCAGTCTGTAGTTCAGTAATGTGTGTATGTGTGTGTGTGCGTGTGTGTGTGCGCGCTCATTTGTGTTAGTGTGGGAGTGTGTGTGTGTGAGAAGAGAGGAGAGGATGCTGCAGCTGTGGCTACAGAGTGACTCAACTTCCCAGAATGCAGAAAGGAGCGTGAAGGGTGTGTTTGGGGGGGTGGGGGTGGGTTCTAGTGTAGGAATAGTGAGGTCCAGAATTAACACAAAATTGCTATACACTGCAACATTATCTCTCTCTATCTCTCTCACTCAGTCTCTCATCTCCCTCTTTATATTTATCTTTTTTTTTTAGCTCTCTCTCTCTCTTGTGCACTCTCTCTGCGCTCCTTTTCTCTCTCTCTCTCTTCTATACTGTTGAACGTGTCTGGGCTTGTCATGCTCTTGCTCTGTTGTACCTTAAAAGACAAAAAGAGAAAAGTTTGCATGTGTCCTACACTTAATATTATCATTTATCATTACTGTCATATTGTTCAGTTATTTAAAAATAATTATATTTTAAAACACCAATTACCCTTTACATTGTATGAACATTTCATTTTCCTCCCCCACCTCTTTCTCCTTTACTCTCACACTCCACTTTTTCTCCATCTGTCTTCTGTCTCTTCTCCTTTTATCTTTCCTTTTCTCTGTCCTTTTCTCTATTTCTCTGGCTTTCCCCTTCTCCCTGTTTTTCCTGCTTGCACCCCTCTCTTTCCCCTCTTACCCCCTCTTGTCTTTTTCTTATTCTTTCCCCTCTCTGTCCCCTTCTCTCTCTCTCTCTGTTTCTCTCCTTCTCCCCCTCTCTCTAACCTCCCCTATCCCTCTTTCTCCTTTCTCTCTCGCACCCTATCTCTCTCCTTCTATCTCTTTATTTCTTTGTCCTCTCTCCTTGTGTCTTGTTCTCCTCTCCCTTTGTTTCTTTCTCCTTCTCTCTCTCTCCCTCTATCTCTTTTTCTCCTGACCGATATCTATCTATCTCTCTCTCTGTCTCTCTCTCTCTCTCTCTCTCTCTCTCTCTCTCTCTCTCTCTCTCTCTCTCTCTCTCTCTCACGGAGGGAGTTTATGTGTGGAGCACTCTACTCACATGAGTCATTTCCTTCCACACATGCTGTTGTGAATCACTCGCCCCCCCTGCTCTCTTGCTTTTACTCTGTGGAGGGCTGCTGGGCCCCACTGGAAAGTCCAGCCTGAGGAGGGCAGTCTGGGAAAGTTGTGTGTGTCTGTGTATGTGTGGAGTAAAGCTACACAGCACTCCATTCATGAGCTTGTCTTTCCTTAGAGCAGCCCCCCTCTCCGACTTTCTCCCCTACTGGCCCTTTGAATGGACCCTAAATTACAGTTACTACTAATATTACTACTAACATTACTATTAGCCGTAAGGCACTCTTTGTAATGCTTACCTTACAACTCTAATTACCACTTACTACAGCAATTACAGCCATCACAGTCACACAACACATACCACTATCTTCTGACTACTATACTTACAGGATCTTCCATTAGTTTTTACTAATGCTCTTTCTCTAGTCAAGGCTTCTGAAAGTGGATTTACCTACATTAGGAAAGTAATGTGCCATTGCAGTTTAATCAAAACTTTGTAACATTTTTGATATGACATTTTGTTATGTCGGTGCTGATGTAGTCTATGTTTATATTAAGCACAGTAACTGCTTTTGTGTTTCAGCATCAGTATTATGATAGGATGTCTTTTTTTAGGCAGCACTACACACCCCAAATCCACAGCTTTTTTTCCTCCTAGCATGTTTATTCTTTGCTGTGTTCTCTAACTTCAAAAAAGAAAACAGTAAAAATGAAAATACCTACAGATATCATGATTTTCTCTTATCGATCACAGATATGAAAAATAAGCACATACGTCCATATCAGCTATGAGTATGGTAAATACAAACTGAATGTGATGTTTTAGCTCCTAACGTAGTAGACTATAAATTGTTTCTTTGTTCTATTCAAGTATAGTATTTTCTCATCATGTTCTCTTTTTTTTCCACACTTTTCTTCAGATGAAAACGGGTCCCTTTGCTGAGCACTCTAACCAGCTGTGGAACATTAGCGCTGTCCCTTCCTGGTCCAAAGTCAACCAAGGCCTTATACGAATGTACAAGGCTGAAGTAAGTATGAAGTCAAGATAAATACACACATATTAGGGCTGTCAAGCAATCAACATAATTAATCGTGTTTATGTGCATTATTTTTGTAGTTAATTGTGATATTCAAATTTGTTTTATTTGCTCAGACTTTACCATAAAAAAATCCCAGTTTCCTATTTTCATCACCAACTTCCAGTCAGAGTATGTTCCCACCAAGGAGGGTATATATCATATTCATCACATATAGAGTCAATGGTTGCAACTCTCGCCTCATACCACTATGTTGGTTGGTACTCCCTGGAAACGAAACGTAGCTTTCCACTTTGTTGCTTTTGTTAGTTTGCTTATTGCTAATTTATCCTTAGCTCCTCTATATGTACTGTCTAGTATTATCTACTGAATACATCCTAATATTACTGATATTACTGGTACTGCCGGCTTCAGCTATGTTTTGATTACTTAAGACACAGCAACCTTCAGTGATGAACAAAATCACCATAGTAGTGGTATTTCCAGCTTCTCTAGAGGTTTTATCAAGAGAGCCTTCAATGGAATGCTATTTAAAAGCAGTGTTTGAATGAGAGCACTACAGTCATGGAGTTATATCAACCGTGCCTGAGCAGCTGGGCTTCAGACAGGAACTAAGGATTGTTTGAAGGGTCAAACGGGGTAAACATGTTAACGGTGTAAATAATTTGGCACGTTAACAAATGCATTGCGTTATCTTTGCTGCCACGTATATAATAGTGGGCAATACACTGTTTTTTCCCAATATACTGGTTGAATTTTTTCTTAAGGTATGGGTTTTGTCATAGTCTTTATACCAGTATGACAAAAATAGGCACTAATAACGTGACATACTGAATGGCTAAATTGGAATTGTTTCAGCATTCCCTCAGCTTAACTTCTTTCAGTTTGCTATTGAGGGAGCAGATGTTAAAGACATTTATGGAAGAATTGACAGATCTCTTGAGGTCGCTTTAGCCCACTTGCCATGCTTCTGCCTCCTTTCGGACCACCTGCAGCTCCAGGACCCTCAGTCACCTGTGTGATACCATGGTCTCGGGGCCTGGTCTCATCTACTAATGACAGCGTGGATGACTTGTAATATTTACCACATTCAAGCAGCGTTTGATGGTCATAGATTTGGGACACACAGACAATTTTTTATTATTTAACAATATTGGGACACGCTTTTAAAAAAAAATAGATCACTGAACAATATTTGCTGGGTCCAGAGAAGCCACTGCATGGTCATACATTAGTGCCATAGATTTATCTATACATTGTTAGTTCTGTTATTATTTTGTGTTGAAAGATATTTGAAATTAACTTTACATGTTAAATATGGCTCTTATTAAAACTGAAGAGACATCTGGCAGAATAATAAGCCACTGCCAGAAATGTTTATTTAGATTTTTTTTTGACCATACTGCCCACTACTTTCTTTTTATATATAAAAATATCTTTTTAATTTTGCTGCCACATAAAATTATTTTTGTAATAACACATTTATCAAATGATTTTTATTCTTATTGCATTTTATTCATTATAGTTTTCATTTAATTAAAATAATTTTAGACTATTCACTTTCATAGAACAAGAAGGGCAGCTGGCATTTTCAAACAGTGTAAAAAACACTTATAAACAAATGACAAATGGCATTATAAGGTGTTGATCTGACAGCAAAAATATGTAGTTTGCTTACTAGCAGTAAGACTCAGGCATGTTCCTCTTTCTTGGAGAAATCACAGCACAGTTTCGGGGAAGTTGTATTAATGGAGAAACGGTAGGATTAGGGTTGTATGACTCACTGCACTTCCTTAGGGCTGTTTTATTATAAATGTTGGGAGGTGTGGAGGAAAAACCTTTAGCTGAGTTAAAACCAGGCACTCTGTAAAGTTTTAGTGCTTTTAGTGCTCGGCAAGAAAGGGTTAAGTAAGTGATTTGGTGTGTGTGCGTTTGTGTGTGTGTGTGTGTGTGTAAAGCCCCACCCCCTCCTTCAGAGCCACATCCTGTGTTGTTGAGAGAGAAGGCCTTTTGGTCCCTCCCCTCCCTCAGCAGAGAGCTGGCTGAGGGGCCAGTCTGTCTACAAACCTCCCCACCCCCACACAGCCAGTACACACACACCCTTGCATTCCCTGTTTAGCTGCTTTAGCTCTGCAGTCTTCAGTGTGTCTTCAGGCTGACTATTACTTAAGCTGAATTTAAGGCTCTGAAAATGTATGTTGTGGTTTATGTTGCAGAAATGTGAAAGATATGAATAATGAATGAATAAAACTAGGGGTGCGTGATGAATCGTCCATCTGCTAAATTATTTACCGATAAGTGGGAACATTGGATTATTATTGTTGGTCCCATATTGGAAATACAGCCAATAATTCCTCTCTATAATGGTGCGGCCTAGTTTTTGTTCACGCAGAAGCATGTGGTCGTTACTACATGGGTTTATTTAGCTACGGCCATATGCAAAAGTTTGAATACTACTGGTCTAATAACATGTTCTTGATATTCTGAGTGAAAATAAGTTAACACATACTCTGCAGAGAATGAATTTTAATATAGCATTTTTACATAAATTTTAGTGCACAGTTTTTGGTTATTTGCATATTTAAAAATATGTAAGTTTTACATATTGGAGAAAAAAACTTTTTTTTTTCAATATGTTAAATTCAGCAAATAAATAGTAATTATGTATTAAAATGTTCTCTGTAGGGGATGTGTACAAAATTTCACTAAGAAAATCAATAAAATGTGTAATTTTGACCAGGGACGTCCAGACTTTTGCATACAACTGTCTGTCATTGCTGTGTAAATTTATTCATTGATCAACTTTGACCGATAATCCAAGCCAATATTCAGCATTTTCCTGATTATCGGAATTGGCATATGAACTAGCTTCCTTGCCAATAAAAGTGCCTTTTGTTATTTTTGCGAATATCTGACATGACCATGATATAAAAATAATAATAATTGTAGTCCAGTTCGCCGCCCACATCATTACTGGATTGCTTGAAATGTGGAAGACTCATTGAATACAACCAACCGGCACTTCTGCAGTTTGTTTCTATGTCCCGCCCCATTCAGAGTCAATCCAATCAAACACGCTTTTCGGGTTTTGTGAGAGATGTGGAAGGGAAAGACGAAGCACCTGCTTTGCTCTCACAGCAAGAGGAAAGGTAAAAATGTAACAGTTGAACAGCATGGTTGGCAAAATGCTAAATGCACTCGGTCGTATAAAAATCTAGCCTAACAAACGTGACTCTCGCATGTAGCTCGAGCCCTGCCCGAAACATCATGTGTTAGGTGAGAGTTAGGTTTCTGTGTATGGGAGTAGACACTATGTTCTGTAGTAGTTGCAACACATTCAGAATGTGTGCGCCTACAGCGGAGCTTCATTGGGTGGCCAACTGTGCAGGCAAGTCTTCAGAAAGCAGTGAATTATTTGTAAAATCATAACGTATTGTTTTACGTTTAATAAATAAGTTATACATAAATTCTCGTCATCTTAATTTTTATTTTCACTATTTTTAAGTACAGACATGTGCAGCTTGCTAACGTTACTTCCACTACTGTGCTTGGACTAACATGTACAACTACTACTTGTTATCTCATTAAATACATTTTGGTTGAACAACAAAATGAAATAAACACATTGTAAGAAAACATTTTTCTTACAAACCTTACTAAATATTAAATGTCATTGAGGGCCATTTAAGTTCTTTATTTTATCTGGTTATCATCTCAAAGGTAACTTGTATAACTAAATGTTTGAAGTAACCATTTTGCAGCCTATACTGCCTAAAACTCAAAGCACTTTATTTCTATCTATTTTTAATGTTCATTTAATATAGGTTTTTTTTTTTCCCACACCAGAAACATCAAATTCACAGTAAATGAATATCGGCCCCAAATAGTGGTTATCGGTGTCCTTTGATAAACCGATAATTGGTATTGGTATTGGCCCTAAAAAACATATTGGTTGAGCCCATTTAACACTGCAATTCAGATTTGAGTTAGAATATGTACAGCATTGTGCAAAAGCCATAGGCCATCTGAGTAAATGATACGTAAAGCCATTTATATGGGCTGTAACTTTAAAATAAACACATTGATTTTTATGTCTATGAGTGTGTTGGCATTTCTGGCCCTCCCGTCAAGGAAGCACAGCATTTAAAGTTGCATCCAGTACCTAGTTCAGATGATCAGTCCTTCATTAAATAAAATCAGGTGTGCTGCTCTTGGAATTTAACAGATCCATGCAGTGGCAGGAGTGCACAAAGAAGTCTGGAAACAAACCTGTGCCTTCATAACTGTTATTTTAACCAAGATATCAGTAACTTTTTTGAAATTCTGGTTACTTTTTAGAGCAATATATTATATAGTGCCTTTACTGGCAAAAATACACTAATTGCCATGCTAAATAGTTTTTAAATAATTATAAAATTAATTTTCATGGCTGCCTAAGACTTTTGCACAATACAGTATAGTGTACCAACATAATAATGAACCTCAGTGGGCTAACACATTTATTGCTAATTTGTATGAAGTACAGTGCAAAAGTCAGGGACTACATTATTATTTATTTAATTTCTAGTCAAAACAGCCATTAAGTACAAGTTATTTGTTTTCAATCTCAGGAAAAAATGCAGGAAACAGATATTTGACAGAAAATCAACAACTTAGTATAATATCAAATTGTTCAGTGTTTTTGTTTGTCCACTCTTTGTCTTTATTACAGTTTCCATTCTTTTCAGGAGACTTGCTTTCAGTTTTTCAAAGAAATCTGAATGGAAATTTTTTCCATGCTTCTTGTAAACATCTCTAAAGTTCAGTCTTAGAAGTTGGCTGTGTTTTGTGCTTCTCATGATCCAAGTAGCACCAAACACATTCAGTGATGTTGAGGTCTGGGCTCTCAGGTATCTGGTACATTGTTCTGAGAACAGCAGCAGCTTCTTTGCTTGACGAGTATGTTTTGTGTATTAAATTATGTTTGTACTTATCAGCATTCACAATGCCTTCAATCTAAAACAAACCTCCAACTCCAGATGTTTTGCATCCCTAAACTCGTACTGATCCTCTACCTTCACTGATGATTGAAGACATAGTTTGAAGAGTCTTTCATTGCTGCAGTAGCATACATACTGCCTTCTGTTACTTCCAAAGATCACAAATTTAGACTCATCGTCTGATAAATACTGATATATTAAATATTATATTCAATGTTATGCAGTTTTCTGTGAAATGTATGTAGCCTGTTTTTTCAGACACTTTGACTGGAAATAAACAAAATAGTGGTCTCAGACTTCTGCACAGTACAGTACATTGCTGATGTACACAGGATATAACTTGTTTCGGAACACGCAAATACACCTTTTATCCCGTAAAGGTTCTAGTAGTCCAGATATTTCCCCATTTGCTGTACAAAACCCCTTCAGCCCATTAATATTAGTCCAAATTTGTGCTGTTAACTTTCTATGGTCTCTGATAATATTTACAGTTTCAAGAAAAGAGATAACGTGTAACTCTCTAACTAAGGAGCAAACATTAATTCCTCACTAACAGGAAACACATTCCATGCGCTTTATTCACTGGTTGCAGTTAAGGCCACGTGAACAGGATGTGCGGGAGTGGGGCATGGCTTTAAATGTACTGAATGGGTAGCTGTGTGATGCTGTGTCATTTCCCCCCAGCGGATACGTTGTCAATGTTGGCAAAGTGGTCTTTAATTTTAAACTTAAAAACTTAATTCAAACTTGAAAATGCTGGTTAAGCCAGTGTAGCCCAATTTCATTATCTCTACAATTATTACTGTTATGATGGATAATGGGGTCTTTCAAGATCTGACATATTAAAGAAAATCACTGTTTTTCTCACAGTGAACAGATTGTTTAACGCTTAAAAGTTGAGACTTAGTACTGTTATTTTGCTATACTATTTATATGTAATTAAGTAATACATAATTAATTACGACTAGGGATCCACTGTTATGGGAATTGTGGGCCGATAACCAATATTTTTCATGTACGTTTCTGCCGATATTGATGTTGATACATAAACATTTATAAAATGTAGATACTGGGACTAAATCCACCTTGATTACCATTACAGAGGAATGTAACACCTGTTTGTATAAGGTTACAAATACAGTAAAATTACACACAGAGATGTTTTAGCACAGCAGCCAAGCATCACCTTAATGTTTTGCTTTTCCAGAGTACAGTAAATACAGCATAAAATATTGGTTTTAAATCGAAATGTCTTCCCAATGACAATATTTTCTAGGCAAATCACTGTCGATACTGATACGATTCCAATATCATCACGCCCCCCTAGTAATTGCATAGTTAAATATTGAATTACATTTACATTGTATATACAATCTGTATTGACACTTCCTTTTTTGTTTTACTTTTTTTCCACAAAACAAAACTGTAAGCTCAACATAACCTTCAAATTCAAATCATAATAAAATATATCTTATATTCTTCTTATAAACACAAGTGTGGTGTAGGAATTGAAAGTTCAGAAGTTGAATTTTTTGGTTGTTTCAATGAGCTATGAGAAAAAATAATTTGTGAATTTACAACATTCCTTCCTGATTGCCACTAGTAAGTGTGACTTCTGTAGTATAAGAACATGAAGTAATGTCTTGTTTTTTCTCTCTCTTTCTCTCTGCCTTTCCAATTCTGCAGTGTCTAGAAAAGTTCCCCGTCATCCAGCACTTCAAGTTCGGCAGTCTGCTTTCCATCCAGCCTGTGAAACCGTGAATGGCAGCAGGAAGACCCAATCAAAGAGCACAACCAAAACTCAAGCCCCTGAGCAAACCACCAAATCCCCCTAGCCACAATCATCAAGCCCCAATATTTACCCATTGCTCAAAATTAATAGATGTGCCTACAATCCAAATCCTACTTCTAACACCAAGTCACCGTGGCTGCCACCCTCTTAAATGATGGAATTTGTTTTGCTGAAATTCTAAATTTCCCTGCAATATTGGAAACTGAGTCAATCCCCCCCCCCCAAAAAAAATCATATTGTTGTGTTCTAGGCCTAAGTACAGTCCATGGCGCAATAAGACTCGTGCAGATTCCTGATCTCCAGCGTTCTTATTTATTTATGTAAATGTACATATGAAGAGTAGAGCTGGCCTGAATGGATAAGTAAAGGCTTGGTTTTGGTCTTGATGTGGAAGAAAGCAGGCACTTTGTCAATTTTCCCCATTTAGAGTGTATAATGATCTTTGACAAATGGATGAATTGTGTGGGTGTGCATGCACATCTGTCTCAAAAGGACAGTTTTGTGATTTGTGTGGCTTTGTTGACTTGTACACCACTTGCTGAAGCCTGTATTTGCTGTGAATGTATGTTATGCTTAAGTGTCATTTTGTCACTGTATGGCATTAATAACCTGCCTTTAGTTTTACATGTTTGTAATGTTTAATTCTTGCAAAGGTTGAATTATTACAGCTGATTGCTTTGGCTGTACCTTTGATCTAGAACCCCCGAAAGAGGGAAAAAAAAAAGGTGCGATAAATGAAAACCCATCTTGTTGCCATAGTCTTCCATTGAAAACCTCAAAGCGATGTAAAAACTTGGGTTCACATACAGCAACTATTGCACTAAAGGAGGATGAATCCAGAGGATTGCGTCCAGATTTCATATGGAAATAAATGGTTTTAAGGTAATCCAACATTTCAGTGCAGAAGGACCTTTCATCGAATTTCATATTTCATATTAAGCCTTGAACAAACAACGTATACCCACCCCATCATTCATAACGAGTTTAAACGATTCAGTGTCCACTTTATTAGAACCCCCTACTTTGTATTTCTACTCACTGACATTATATCTTCTCTATACAGTTAAATGCAACAGTTTGGTCAAATAACGTGGCAATTTTCTAAGCGAAAGTAAGTTAACACATCCCCCGCAGTGAACACACTTCTGCACATTTTAATGCACAATCACTGTTCATTTGCTGAATTAATATTCTTTTTCATGAATTGTGACCTGTGCAAAGTTATGGCACTTTTGATATTTTGGTGTTATTTTTTTGCCATGTTAAATTCATTGTAATTGTGCAATAAGTTTGCAGAAAAAAAGTCATATTTAAGTTAGTGTTAGGACCAGGAATGTTCAAACTTTGCTTGTACAACTGTAGGTGCACAATTAGAGACTGTTGCAAATCTGTTTTCATGAACAATTTGTCAAGACCACTGTTGGACCAGGTATTACTTGTATGGATTCATTCAAAGTGACACTGAAATGGTAGTATGTGTGGTGCTGGTACGAGATCAGGCACAGCAGTGTTGCTGGGGTTATTTATTTATTTATAATCAGCATTACCACTAGGTTGAGGGTGACTCTGTGGTCTGAAACTGACCACTGATTAAGGGCAAAGGATGATTCATGCATATTGTGGATGACTCAAGGCAAAACTATACACCTGCAAGGCAGAGGTTTCTGCTGGACACTGTATAACATTATAATGCGATCATGTTTACTAACTTAAGAACTAACAGCTATAGCTGTATTTCCTATAATGATAGTTATGTAACATTAAGTAAATCTCCACATCTCCATCTTGTAGCTAATCTAGGTTTGTAATAACAGTACTGTGTAGTTAGACATGTATAGAAAAGAAATTTACGCTTGTTTTCTTGCGTAACCCATTGTCTAGTTCTGACGCAATACCCTTGTTACCGTTTACTTTCACTGAAAAATTTGAGGAAAAAAACACTTCTGACTGGAGGCTTCATTGTTGTCTTTTTTCATTCTTGTAAAAAGCTGGGCTCCTGAACTCTAGGGCATAAAGTTAAAAGTCAGCTTTTTTTCAATTTTCAAACCACAAGGTACGTAACTCTTTAAAGGGGAATTCCACAGATTTTTCAAAAAAACGTTTTGATGTGAAATGCACTGTTCTAGACAAGCTAGACAACTGACAACAGTGGTGATAGGAACCAGATGTCTGAAGCATTTGAAGGGGAATTCCACTGATTTTTTCAAAATTTCTTCATAATTCAGTGGTTGAGCTGTAAACAAAATCCTTCCGAGTGGTTTGATGTGAAATGCTGCATTCTAGAGAAGGTTACTGACTCTACAGTGGTGGTCTTGGGAACCAAGGGTCATAATGTCTATATAACATAAATATAGCCGTTATATTTACTATCCAAACCCATCAGTGAATTACGTGTCTTTTGAGTTTTTGTTTTTTATATGTCAATATTGATAAAATAATTGTATATGTAAAACACGTATGTTTTCTTTGGGGACATGCATGTACCTTTCCACCATTAATGTATTTTAAAAATGGTTTAGGCCAAAATCTAATCTTAAATATATTGTAAAACTGTATACCAGGCAGTATATTTATGATCATTTCATGTAAAAACTTTTTGAGGGACGTTTTAAAGGTGTTAAATTCTTCAGACGTCTGGTTCCTGTCACCACCACTATGAACAATTATAACTCTGCAAGTTTCTCTAGAATGGAGAATTTCATACCAAACCACTCAGCAACTGAATTATGAAAAAATAGGTAATATTCCCTTTTATTTTGTCATTTACCTTTATTATTCGAAGTGATGGAGTACTTTCCTATGTCTTGGCTACAGTTTTTTTGTCTTTACTTGATTTGGTGGAGTGGAATTTTTTGTTGCTTTATCATGAAGAGGCCGATCATGAACCATGTTTTATTTTTATGGCCTTTTCAGCATCTGCCCAGTCACTCTTGATGCTGGTCTATGCGTTCCCACTACAGTGGGTTTCAGCTCAGCTTTTGCTGACTAATTTGGATAAAGGCAAACGATTTAATTCAGCCATTTCACCCCCCTTCCCCTCCCCCTGCTCTGTTGTATTCAAACGCAGTGCTCCACACTCACGCCTCTGATAAGATAAGACTGGTGTGTCTCTCTGTGGTTTTAAGAAGACTCAGATGTTTAAAGTTAAATTCCACTTCAGAACATGTGAGTTTGAAGGTGTAAATGAAATCACCTGATTGACACCTGGCTTTAGCCCGGTTTTAAGCGCCGGAGGGCTGTTGAGGGTGGCGGGTGGTTAATTACAAAAGGTTTTATTCACACTCACTTTAAAATATTAGGATTTTCGTCCTGTTTAGGTTTAAAAAGTAGAAAGATTTTGGTCCCTGTGCTAAAAAAAAAAAAACAAGCGGTTTCCCATAAGGAACAGATTCGTTTTTGAAACAGTTCAATCTATGGCCACAGGGGGGAGCTCGCCACACATGGCTGAACGTAAGCCACTTGTGTACGACGAATACAATTTTCCAGAAGAATAATAAAACTATTCCCAACAAAATCACGAAACGCCTTTAAATTAAAGTCAGCTGCTTGTGTGAATGTTTACTGCGCGACGCTGTACGTTTATAATAGTGCGAGCAAACGTCGATATGTAGCGTTTCTCTTAAACGCAATTACGTCATTATAATCGCCTTTTCCCGAAACAGTAACCTGTTTATAACTTAACCTTGCCAGATTCTACGACACTCAAAAACACATTCGTCCCGTCCTCCGCAAAAACACACACACACTCGATACGACGTTGCTTATGTACGATTTAAAGCCTAAAGCTCCTGATATCTGTTTAATGGCGCCCAATTTACCTGCATTTTTTGGTTTAAGTTATTTTTTAACAGCCTGGCCGGAGTAGGTGCAGCCCCCGTGCTCGACGCTGCTGCAGCAGCTCAAATTGAGAGGAGTCGAGAGGTTTCAGCTGGAGATGGAGGAGGAGGAGGATGGGGAGGGGTGGGGGTGGTTATGGGGGAGCAAACGGATCCGAGGTCAGCCCGAGGTGCCGCTCCATAGGCGCTCTAATACCTCCATTCATCGATTTTGAAGAACACCACCATGTGGCACACAGCAGAGATAACACAGCCTGCGAGTTTTTTTGCAAAAGTGCCTGGCTAAAAAAAAAAAACAGAAGGTCTCACAGCAGCGCCCAGTACAGCACTGGTTAGAAAGTACAGCATGCAGCACTGTCCATCTCACAATTTCTGTGTTTCAGCTGTAGTGAATTCTAGTGTGTTTGCTTCGTATCTTGTGGCTTCAAAATGCCTCTTCTCTACTTGCTTGTGAGGTCTGTTGAAAAAGTTTTGACAGGCTGCTAAACATTTAAGGCTCAAAATCAACAGGACCCCAGAAGGCTGATACTGATGAAGGGGTGGGTAATGTTCAGAAGTGTGCAAAACTAGTGAAAATATTAGTCTGATTGGAGTAGGCCACACATCCTTCACAGTGAGGTAGAGCCCATGTGGCCTTCTTACAACCTTATTCAGTGTTTTTATGTTATTCATGCTATTAATTTTTTCGGGTGTACACAACCATAGACCAATGTGGCAAATGTTAACTATGTATGAAAGCATTGCAGCAGCAGTTGCAGTAGTCCTATGAAGCCACTATGAAGTACTATTTTGTCTCTGGATGTAAAGTTTACTTTCATGTAGTGGTGTGTTAGCTGCCAGATGTATAATAAAACAGTGTTGTGCTGAGAATGTGCAGTGAGGTGGCCCAAAACTCTTCAAGCTTGCCATGTATCCACTGCTTTAGCAGAGAAGTGAGGACAAGAAGTAAGAACACAAGTCACCAGAAGTGAAATTCATTTTTTATTAAGGTTATAAATTTTAAACAAATACTTTCTAAAACAGTTTTACCCGGTGATATACAATTTAATATGCACAAAAATACAAGAATACCAACAAAATATGGAGAGTACGTCTGAAAACGTCTTTAATTCAGTACACATAGTGCTTATATAATGTGAGGACTTATGGCTAACTTATGAGATTGCCTTTTTAGAACAAAAGGTCTAACATTGTAAAAAATAAAATCAAACCCACAAAACCAAGCAAATGCTGGCATCATGAATTACTGTGAAGGCTTAATCAACTTTTAAAAGAGTAAAAGGGAGGGAAATGCTAACGCTCTGGAGACCAAACAGTCAACAACAAAACAAAATCATAAACCCAAACACCTGGCTGATTAAATTCCGTCGTGCATTCTGGGA